TTTTATATTAAGGAAAGACAGGGGCAGGCTTTTAAAAAACAATTATATTCTACAGAAGATCTCATTTATAGTCACATTATTCGCTGGAAAGTTTCAGAGTATAAATCTCACCCAAGTATTGGATCTATTCTCTTCTTTTAGAGATCTTTTTTTGAGAACAGACCTGTGAATTCCTCAGCATAGAGAACTCCCCATTAGGAACTTCCTCTATCAGTGCAGACTTTTATTTTCTCTGTAACTTACAATATTTAAAGTTGCCTGGATGGTTAAGAAGTTAAATGACTTGATTGACCAAGATCACACTATTAGTTTGCATCAGAAATAAGACTTGAACTTGGGTCTTATTCAGCTCTAACACACCATGCTGACCCTCTCAAATCTTCTAAGATTCAATCCCTCAACGCAATCAAAACTGTATTGTTTCTGAATATACTTGGTATGGTCCAGCTGTTCTCCCCATTTTTTTTTCATAATTTGGCCACCATCTTCCTCTATGACATTTTACATATGTGTTCATATTCTAAATTGGTACTTTGCAGGCATCTCTCTCTGCTTGGCAAGATCAAGTATTAGTAAAATGAGGCAGTTTCAGGACCCTTTTATCCTCTTCATTATGCCAGATGATTTACATATGGTAAACTTTCTTCAAAAATGAAGCTCCACGTTGACGGTTGTTCTACATGTTTTCTGCCTTTTTTCATCAACAGATTAGATCCCTTACCTCTTCTAATGAAACTAAATAAGTCAATGTCCAATATCTAATAAAAGGTGTTGATTATAATTTTTAGACATGGAGTATCATTTAGTATGATTTTATACCTACTAAACCTTGGTAATGCCTAGAGGGCTAAAAACTCAAAAAAGATTCTGTGAGATCCTACATGACAACATGTACAATGTACTTTGCAACCTTAAAGCCCTGCAGAAATGTTATTTACCATTACTGTTATACTAGTAGACCAAATGAGGAGTTGTAAGACTGAACCTGTGTAGAATCTATTCGCCCAATTTCGTCACTTCCTTCAACAATGCTCAGCAGTTTGGAAGTAAGAAGAGAAGGCAGATGGTGAAGGAGCCCTTGAATTAAGTGTGGACATGAAGGACAGAAGGACAGGCAGGTAAAGGTGTCCATCAAATGGTTAAACTGGCTAACTACAGAGTCAAGATTACGATCCTAAGTTTAGATCTAGAATGGGCCATAGAAACCAGGGAGTCAAACCCTCTTATTTTACATCAAGATGAGGTAAGATTTTACAGATGAAGTAAGTGAAGCAGAGAGGCTATCTGCTAAGTATCTAAAGCAAGATCTGACCTCTGGTCTTTCTGTCTGACTCCATGTCAAGTGCCCTGAGGAAAGTTTGGCCAGGGCAGAAATGATAGATTGAGTGAACAAGGAGGGATGGAAGGTCATGATGAGAATGAAGAATAAATGCAGAAGTAGTAAGAAAGAGTGGGAATTGAAAGAATAAGAGATTATTATCAGACAAAATTTCAAGGTTCAAGGTCATGGAGGTAAAGATTGTGGTGATGGTGTGGTACAAAGTTGCGCTCACAATTTTAGGTAATGTAATGGTTAATGAAATTACAGACCAGTGGGTCTGAGATAAAGCTGGATTAGATGACAAGTCAGGTCCTAAATAGATACTGGCAGGTTAGAATGATGAGTTAAGTCCAATAAGAATAAATTTAATATAAATAAAGGTGAAGTTCTACATCTGAGATTAAGAAAAAAATGTGATTAAAAAAATCAATTCCAAAAAGAGAGGATGGGGTATGTAGATGGGCAACAATTCTTATGAAAAAGATCTTAGGTTTTCAATAGACTTCAAGCTAAAAACGGGCCAACAGTGTGACCTGACAGCCAAAAATTAAAATGCGATACTGGGCTGAGTGAGTTACAGTGTCTAGAATAAGGGAAGTGATAGCCTGGCTATTTTCTGCACTAGTCAACAACATTTGAAATAACATGTGTAAGTTGTGGGTGTCACATTTTAAGAAGGACACTAAAAGCTGAAGTACACCCAGAGGACAGCAGCAAGGATGGTTTGGGGAGTAAAGGTCATGACACACAGGAATCAGCTGAAGGAGCCTGAAGGAAGCAGAAGAGGAACCATGAGAGTCGCCTTAAAAGTATCTGAAGCACTACCATGTGTAGTAAGAGGAATTCGACTTATTCTGCTTGAACTCGGAGAGAAGAACTAAGAGCAATGGTAGTAAGTTGAAGAGGTTGACTTCAGAGGGTTATGAGAACGGCCTGGAATGAGAGTTATAGCAAAAGCGGAATGGGCTGCCTCCAGATGTTAAAAGGCTCCATCTCATTAATTTAAGAGGAGGCTGGATGACTGAGAGATGGAGGAATTTCTTGGGTCAGCAGAGTCTCTGAGGTCCCTTCTACATATGAAATTCTTTGATTCCGTCTTACCAACTTTCCCACACCTGACCTAACATTTGGCAATTTGAAACATATATGTGTGTATATATAGACACACATGTATGTATATACATACACACATACATGCACATATGTGTTTACAAATATATATTTTTGTTTTCATGCTGAAATAAGAAAACTACCATGACACCTAAAAACTACATTGTTCTATAAATATAATAATCAAGTGATGATTTGTCAAAATTTTTAATGCTCTTACTTCCACTTTGAGAAAAAGAAATGAAATTAGGACCTTCTCTGTTCCTTTTGTTCCCTTGTGTTGTTAATTAACCTGTCTCTGCTGGCCCTAATGAAAGGTTGGTACTTTCAGAATTTTCCCCCAAACCACAAATTAAAGATGGGAAATTTCTATTTATAGTAACAATGATATTTTATCTCCAGAGCCTGAAACAAAAATCTTCCTCAAACCTCTAAAATTCCCACAGGTGGCTAGAGAAGGCACTGCAAAAATACTGTAAATCATGGGGGAGTAAAGTTGTGAAGAACTGACTATGTCAAATAGTCAAAGCTGACCAAATTTATTACTTCCTGTGACAATTTAATTTCTTTAAATATATTTGATCCTGATCTTTAGTTTAACCCTATTTTCTCTCCTTACTCCAACCTTGCTTTATAAGGATGATCATCTGTTTCATCCCCAAAAGTTTATATCTTAGTGATGCCAAACTAATATTGCTCCTGTAAGGCTTATTTAAATAAATCATATGTACAATACTTGAAAGGCTGGTAAAACTCTCCAGATTTTGCCTTTTTCCGGTAATGCTTAGTTTCACTTAGTTACCTTGGTTAATGCTTAGTTTCACTTTCTTAGGAGTGTAAACAGCATTGGAATAAGTCAAAGGCTTGCAGAATAAAACACACTACAATCTTGAAGCTGGATCCAGAGCTTTCTGACTAGAATGAAAATAGCACTAAGAAAAATATAGTGCTTTCCCACTAGATGCAAGTCCTGCAATCTATTCATAATTTTGTTAGCAAGTACTTTAAGCCCTTAGTTAAAGTCCTTTCAAGTTTGGGGAGAGGAGGGGGAGAAAGAGGGGAATGGGTTTGTCAGGAAAAGGTAGGTGGGGTGGAAGTAAGAAGGCCCACCAGTCTCAGGAAAATCCTTTAAAGATGGATATAAATAAAGTAATTGGAGATATAAAAAAGAAAATGTGTCATTTTGTTACCAATATTAGGTTTTTATGAGAACTTAGTCTTTGGTGTCTAAATCTTCCTGCTAAATGTATGACTTCTTCTGTAAATACTTATTCCGAGTTTCAAATACTTTTAATTTGGAGGATCCATTTTTAAACTAGAGTCCAACTTTGAAAGCAAATACTTCACCATTTCTGACAACTAACTAAACAGCAATTGTTGCATGATTCTATAAACCTGTCCGTGGAAATCTGAAGCAATTTCTATAAAAAAGTAAAACCACCCATGTCTCTCTCAAAAAGTTAAAAGGAAGCAATGACTTTCTAGCATAACAACTTACTCAAAGCAATACATTTTTGGACAAGTCAAATGTTGCAGGGCAGCTAGGTGGTGCAGTGGATAGAGCAGCTGGGTCAGGAGTCAGAAAGACTCGAGTGCATAGCCTCAGACGCTAGCTTTGTCACCCTTGGCCAAGTCACTTAGCCCTGTTTGCCGTTTCCTCAACTGTAAAATGAACTGGAGAAGGAAATGGCAAACCACTTTCTTTGTCAAAAAAACCTCAAATGGGGTCACCAAGAATCACGATTCAAACGACTGAACAACAAGTGTGGGAAATGGTTTTGTTTGACTACCCATACTTGTTGCAAGAGTTTTGTTTTTCTTCTTTTTCTTTTTTTTTAAGTAGACTGGTGGGAGAGAAAATAAACACTTAGAAAAGAAAAAGATAGGCCCAGGTAGCCTCCAGCAGACCAACTTTTAAAAGGGTCTGTCCTTTTTTAAAGCCCAAAGACCGAGGTTGCACTTTCACTCAGCTCGGCTTCCTAGGCTTCAGATTCTCCCAGCCTTCCCCTTCCCGCCCCCAGACCCCCCCTTCCCCCCCCCCCCCCCCCCGCCCCGGTCCAGTTCCAATTCCCCACACCCACTTGCAGGTGTGACCAGAAGGCAGGTGAGTAACTCAGGTGGGGGGGGCGAAAAAAAGAAAACCGTGCCCGTCCTGCTGTCCAGGTGCCCGTGGGCACTGCGGGGGGTGGGGGGGGCTTCCACCACGGCGCGGGGGGGTGGGGGGATCCGGTCTCCCGCTGTGTGATTCGGCAGGGAAGGCCTCAGGTGAGCCGGGTTCCAAGCTTGGGGGGTGGGGGGAGAACACCAGGCCAGGCTGCAGAGGATGCTACCGGCCCCGGGACCGGGACTGCCTCTGACCTACCTGAGGAAGGAGAGGGGACACGCACATGCCCCCCACACACACCCATACCCCCACGCGCGCACACACGCGCAGCATCAGCAGAGAAAACAAAATACGCCATCCCGCATGCTCCCCCGGGCTACGCAGCCGGGCCGAGCGACGAGCTCGGGGGCCACCGGGGCTCGGACCCGGGAAGCTGCCCCCTCCCCCGCGTCCCCGGGCACGCACCGAAGTCCAGGAACTGCTTAATGGAGAGCGGCGACGGAGAGAAGCGGGAGTAGCGCTCGATCTGCTTGGGGACCGGCTGCTTCAGCAGCCACCGGTAGAGCCGCATCTTCCTCGGCCCCCGGCCCGAGCCCGCAGTGGGGCGCAGCTGGGGGTGGGGGCGGCGGAAGAAAGAGGAAGCTCCGCGACGGAAGACCCGGCTACGGCGCCAGAGCCGGGGCGGAGCACGGCAGGAGCGTGGTGCAGCACCCCCGGCCGCGCCGAGCCCCCCGCGGGCCAGAGCACGGCAGCCCCGGAGCAGCCTCCGTTCCAGCCGCGGCTGCTCGCGCCCTTTGCGCGCGCGCCCTGGCTCCCTTCCCGGCCTCTCCGGGATCCGGGGAACGTTCGCCGAGCGCGCGCCACTCCCGCCTCAGCCCCGCCGCGGCTGCAACTGCAGCAGCAGCAGCAGCAACGGCTCCCCGCGGGGCATCGCGCTAGCCCGCTCTGCCCCCACCCCTCCCGGCGGCTGCCAACCCGCCGGGCGGGAGGGCTGTCCGTCCGCTTCCCACTCCCCGCCCTGCGAGGCGGAGCTCGGCCACTGGCAGCCCCTTCTCTAGCACGTACACACCCGTCCACACCAGGGAGAGAGATTTAGAACCGCCGCCAGATCTGGTTCCTCATTGGCCCCGGGCCTTGGCCTCGTTTTCGTTTCCCCCGCGATTTGACCGAGCCCTGGGCGCGTGCTCCCCTGGGGCAGACCCGGGGGGTGGGGAGCGACCCCCCCCGCCTCTGCAGCACCCCCAACCCACTCCGGGAGCTGTGACCTTCCACCCCCTGGGGAGGGGGGAGGGAGATCGGCTCCGATAGCCCCTTGGGGACCCCTAGCTGTGCCCGCAGACACCGATGCTCCCGTATGTGTAGGTCTCGCCTCGTTTTGTGCCTGCCTCCCCGACCGGGCTGTAATGCATGGACTGCGAGATCAGGGACACCCTGGCGTGGGTGGACACTCAAGTCTATTCCCCCGTGTTTCCACCCTTATCTGAGTAAATTTCCCAGTGCACCACTATTAAAAAAAAACCTGAGACTCTGCCTTCTAATTGTTATTCTTGGCCCTGCACGTTGACTACCTGTGTGACCTGACACACAAGGTCAGTTTTAACTGTAAAAGGATGGCGTTGGACTAGAGTCGTTCCCAAATTTATTTGGTCTACCACCCCCTTTAAAAAAATTACCCAGCACCGCCTGGGGTTAGGTTAGGTTAACCCTAATTTTTATTCAACGCCCCTCAATCGCACCCGAGGCTACTATCGTCCCCTGGATTGTTCCAGCTACTCCCACCAGGGGGCAGCATCGCCCACTTTGGGAACCTATAGAAACCTAAGAAAAATGAATACTTTTTCTTACATTACTCCCCCCTTCTTGGGGTCCACCTTTAAGCCAAATTGGACTATTCTTCCCATGGTTTCCTTACTATGTAAGGCTTTCCCCACCACCCCTCCCATTTTTCACACTACTTTGTGCAGGGAGGGGCACCCCCCCCACTGACCTCCACTTCTGTCTGTGGAAATCCCTTCCTTTGAAGCCCTGTTCATATTCTAGTCCTCCCTGCAGCCTTCCCCAAGAGACCCCTGCCCCTTTAAATTTACATATATAGGTTTAAAAAAAAGATTTTATGTGAAACTGAACTTCTTTTGCCTACTATTCAGATTTTTAAAATATTAAATATCAATATTATAAATTTAACATGATAACAAAAATGCCTTCCTTTTCTATATCCCCTTCCAAATTTCTTTCTGGCTTCTGTTTATTTAATGTTTTATTTACCTTTTTCCCTTTTAACATCTTTAACACAACCCATCAACTCCACCTTTCCACCACAAAATAAACACTTATTGGTAACACCTAAGTATAGTCAAGCAAAACAAATCAATAATGCCTCGGCCATGTCTGAAAATATATGGTTCATTTTACACTTCTATTCCTACTTTCATTCTGCCTGCTTTATCATCAGCCTTCTGGGGTCATAATTTGTTGTTGAATAGATGATCAACGTTCATTAATCATTAAAAGTTGTTTTCTTTTTCATTATTGTGACAATTGTATAAATTGTTCTCCTGATTCTACCATCTTCCTAAATGCCATGGTATTTTGACTGTACCTAAATCTCTGCCATTGCTTTTATTATACTCCAACTTGCATTCAAATTTACTTTTATTTTTAAGCTTCTTTAAAAACTGGGGTTTGTGTCATATATTCTTGTATCCCATTTACACAGTGCTGGGCACATACCATGATAGATACTGAGAAGGGAATCCTCAGTAAAATCCTGTTAACAGTGCTTAAAAACATGTTGAATTATACTGAAAAACTGTTCCCTTGACATTTCAATTCAACAGGTGTCTGTTCAACAACTCCTGGATGCAAGTCACTATGCTAAGTACTAAGGATACAAGGACAAAAATCAAATGGCTCTTTATCTTTAAGGAGCTCCCACTAGGGAGATATAACATAGCAAGAGATGTGTAATTACAAACTAATTTTAGGAAAGAAAGAGCAATAACGATTGGATGGGAGATGTCTAAAAAAATCTAGATGTGGGTTTACATGCCCCTTTTTGTTGCTGTGGTGTAGACAGGAAGACCACTGATGAAAATTAATTTCTCTACTTCCACACAGATCTGGAAACTACTTTAGATGCCTGAGCAGACACTTCCTAAGGCTTCCTACCTAGGTCTTCTCTGAGACATTAGAGCAGAATGTTGGTAGAGTGTCGCCTGGACTGTCCTGTTGCCTACTGCAGATATAAAGCATGAAAGGCAGCAACTGTGTTGGGAGTGGGAAAAGAAAGATTTTGAAACTTCACTTTTACATAGTGCTTTAGATTTACAAAAACCTGTCCTTACTACAACCCAGAGGGTAAGTAGCATTATCCTCATATTGCAAATGAGGAAACTAAGCTCCTGCTGAAATGCCTTGCCCTGGGTTGCATAGGTAGTTAATTGGGAGAGACAGGATTTGAACTCAGGTGTCCTCATTCAAGGACCAGTAGTTCTATTGTTGTTGGGGTTTTTTCATATAATCTTTGGTTTTGTCTTTTTTTTTTTTCCTTCTTTTTTTAGGCAATTGGGGTTAAGTGACTTGCCCAGGGTCACACAGCTAATAAGTGTTAAGTGTCTGGTCTGAGGTCGGATTTGAAATCAGGTCCTCCTGACTTCAGGGCCAGTGCTCTATCCACTGCGCCATCTAGCTGCCCCTCATATAATCTTTGGAGAGAAAACTTTTTTTCCTAACTTTATTAGGATTAACACTACCTCTTCGGAACACATTGCTAATTTTAACCCTTTCATTTTACTTTTGAAGGTTATCCTATTATGTGATATTTGGGGGTTTAACTAATTGAATTATTACAAACAATAAACTATTAGTTTGAAACCATGTGCTGTCCTGGGCAAAGAATTGGGAGTCCTGAATTGTATACCTGAATGTCATCAAGTATTGATTGATTTTAGCACCAATCCTTTTAGTCTTTCGGGGTGATGAAGTAGAAAGAGCACGCCAGACTGGAAGTCCGGAGACCAGAGTTTGAATCCTGACTTCAACTGATTAACTGTGTAACCAATGGCTAATTTACTTAGAGTTAAGAGAGCTGAACCTCACAATTCTGAAGGACCCACGATGAAAAAGGCTGTCCACCTCCAAAGAGAGAACTGATGAATTCTCAGTGCAAATTGAAGCATACTTTTTACACTTTCTTTAATTTTCTTGCTTTTTTTCCCCAATGTGGCTAATATGGAAATATATTTTGCATGATTTCACATATATAATTGATATCATGGCAATTGCCTTCCTCAATAGATGGAGGGAGGGGTAGGAGTGAGGGACAGAATTCGAAACTTAAAATTTTTAAAAATGAATGTTAAAAATAAAAAAAGAAATAATAAAATAGAAGAGTAGAATTGGTATGAGATATTAGTAGTCGTATCAGGGGATTTTGCTTAATTGTTTTCATGGAATGTACTTTGTAGAGATTTCTCTGGGTGTTGGGAAGTGTCTGTTATATAAAAATAAAATGTGTTATTATTATTATTTTTTTTTTTAGAAAAGAGAGAGAGCTGAGCCTCAGATGCCTCAGATTTCCTCATCTGTAAAATGATGATCATTAGGGTGAGAAGAAAGTGCTGTATAAAACTAAGATTTGAGTTTTCATGCATTTAAATATATCTCATTTGCCTTCACAAATAAGCTTCCCAAGGTAGGTTATATATCTCCATTTGGCATATTAGAATATTTCCCATGTATACAGGACTTAACAGTTTCACAAATCTCTTTCTTCACAACTACCCCCAGGAGGTTGGTTCATACAAATGTTATCCTCTTATCAATGAGTCTGTTTAGACTCAGAAAAGTTAAATGACTTACTCATGGTCCTATAACTAGTAAAGCTCAGAATCAAAATAATACCCAGATGTCCTAACTCCAAATTCATTGCTTTCACCATTGCCACACTGGCTTGAAAAACTAAGGCATTAGTTTACTTCAAGGTTACTCTCTAATAGTAGATTTTACTACAGACATTTAATGTAATAATGGGATCAGCTTTGAGTCGTGGTTGTTCTGAGTTTTTTTTTTTTAAATTGGAAACTTACCTTGTTAATGTTAATTAATATAACTCTCATTCCCATGTATGCTATTTCCATGTATGCTAACTGGGTAGGGGATAGCAGAACATTTTCAGTGGAATCTGACATCTACTAAGTTGGTCCTAAGAAGAAATTCAGTATGATCTAAGCAAATTACTGAAACATGGAAGAAATTACTTATTAGAACTATGGATAGGGAAAGAGTTCATGACCAAACAAGAAATATAGAGATTCAAGGGAGGTAAAATGGATAATATTGATTACATAAAATTATAATTTTTTGCATAAACAAAACCAAGGTAGCTAAAATTAGAAGAAAAACAATAAACTGGGGGGGAAATCTTTGCAAGTTTCTCTGCTAATTTCTCTGCTTATTTCTAAAATATATTGGGAAGCAAGTCAACTTTACAAGAAAAAAAAGAGCTATTCCCCAATTAACAAATGGTCAAGAAATATGAATAGGCAGTTTTCAGAGGAAGAAATCCAAACTGTCAATAGCCATATGAAAAAATGTCCTAAATCACAAATAGAGGTACTGCTTCATACCCATCAGATTGGCTGAGA